TAATACTTGATTCTGGGATCCATTGTATTCTTTGCTATGGAAAATTAATTGCTTGATAACTTCTTCTGTGCTCACTAAATATGTGCTTTGTGTAGCGAAAGATTTTCAATTCTGCAGTTCCAGAGAGGCAGCATCAGGGTTGGCATATTATGATTTTATATTGAAAACCATCTCTGTAGGAATATCTCTTATTCTGCAGTTCCAGATGGTGCTGCTTTTGTTATTGGCTTGTGGAAGACTCCTTATTGAAGCAATTTTTATTATCGAATCTGACATTGTCTATAATGATGATGTAATATGCTGTGAGTGCATTGAAACAAAATGCAAGATGATACTTCTCCATAATCCACAGTGCACTTTAACTTAAATTCATGATTTATATTGGTGTCATTGTTGCTATCTATCCACATGCTCTAAGTTCAGCTTGGCCTTTCAGTGGTTTCTTGGTAACTATTTACCTTGTTCAAATGATGGAGAGTCACTGCCTAAAATTGAAGACATGGTCATCTTATAATAAAATTTAGGAATGATATTCTATTTAGGTTTTTTCTTTCTTTTTTTTTTCTGAATTTATAATCATTAGAAGTCCTGATATTAGAGGACAATACTAGATAATATGAAAGGATTAATTCCTCAATTTCCTTCTAAGATTTGTGTACCTATGAAGATTATGTAGTGCTACTCCACCTCGCACTTCTAGTGTTTTTCTAGAATTTTTGGTCTGCAAAACTAGGTCAAGGGGTTATTTTCTCACTTCAGATGTTGAGTGTGGTTATTTGATGCTTTTGGGTGTTTAGTGATGGCTACCTCACAAATCACAATTAGCTACCAATATCCAAGGATTACAGTTATGAGATGTTTACTGATTTGTTGAAAGTAGAGTTTGGCTGGTTATGCTTTCTTTCTTTGGGATAACTTATGAGCCAGTTTCTCAAGTTTACTTGGCTGGTGTTTACTAATGTTTCAGTTTTGGCAGCTTTTCTGTTTCTTCGCCATCACGGAAAAACTGATTCTGTCCTGAGTCTTAGCAAAGGTCACACTTTGTTGGTTTTCTACTTAAGAGAGTTATAGTTTTGAATTTTTTTATTTTTTATTTTTTTGTTATAGAAATTTATTATTTTTAAGGCTGAGGTTAGCATTATAAGCATGCTAAAACAAGTTTAGGTGTATTTATAATGTGCTAATGAGAAAAGCTTTAAAGACAACCTTTTTCCTGATGATAATGAATCATGCTTCTTGTAACTAAATGGTTAATTGGAAAAAGGTATAGCTATGGTAATTTCATAATTAGTATTTAGAATAGTTGTAAAAGCAACTTTTTGCTAGATAAGTTAATTCAAAAAAGTAATTCTTGGTGGTCATCATCAACTTTTCTTTCATTTATAGGCCAGGAGTTTTTATAAAACTAATGAACCAGCATTCAATTTTAACAATAAGTGTTAGATTCTTGGCAACTTTTATTGATGAATTTGAGTACATGAGTAAAAATCTACTTCAGATATCCAGTGAGGATCTAAGTCATATTCTTTTTATTTTTTATCATATAGTTGTGTGTTTAAATCTAAAGACATGAATGTTCAAGTCTTGATTTTCTTAGCAGTGAGATGGGTTAGTGGATGAAGGTTGGGTGTGTTACAATTTTTATTTTCTAGGCATTTGAATCCATCTTTAGTCTTACATTTTTTTTAAGAGTTATATAACCATTGTCTATGTAGTCTGAGATTATATTCCATGGACAGGTTCCAGGAACATGGAGATGGATGCTTGGAGTTTCCGCTGTGCCAGCTGTCATTCAGTTTGCCCTTATGCTTTTATTGCCCGAGTCTCCACGATGGCTTTTTATGAAGGTCAATGATGCTCTTATTTTTCTAATATTCTTTCTGCTTTTAGACTTGTTACTTTTGCGTAAGTGAGTAAGTCATCAACTGGTCTGTCTTTCTATGCAGGATGACAAAAATAAAGCCATATCTGTGCTTTCTAAAATTTATGACATAGCTCGGTTAGAAGATGAAATTGAACACCTAACTGCTGCAGCAGAAGAAGAATCCCGGAAGAGTGTGATCAGATACTCAGATGTCTTTAAAATAAAAGAAATCAGAATCGCCTTTCTAGCGGGGGCTGGACTTCTGGTATGAAATGTCACACCAAGAGTTTAGCAGGATATCCTCATTCCTCTGAAAAATGGAATCATTTTTTGTTCATTGACTTTCAATGATGATTTTTAGTTTTTCATGATAAACTCATCCACTCTTGTTTTTGTCATATGCGTTTTGTTTTGACTATTCATCCAATCAATTCAAAATTTAAAATACTTTTTTGGATTATCATTATGATAAGCCTTTTTTGGATGCAAACACAAACATATTGTTGATTTCATCAATTTTAGGAATTGACCTATCGGTAGTATTTTGGACATTGCTTGTGGACCTAATTGTTCTTCAATAAAATTATAAATGGTACCAGTAAATAGGAAATCCTTTTCACTGAGTTTGCTAGCATGGACAAGGATTATGTTCTAACAAAGAAACTTTAATTGTACAGGCATTCCAGCAGCTCACTGGCATCAACACTATCATGTACTACAGCCCAACAATTGTTCAGATGGCTGGATTCAGATCTAATCAGCTGGCACTTCTTTTGTCTCTGATTGTTGCTGCCTT